TTGGTACTCATCCAAGAAATACAAATCCGAGAATCCCCCAGCCAGTCTGGCTTCTGATTAATGCACATTTGCTGAGCAATGCCATTCAAAACATGCAACGACCTGAACCAGGCTCATTGAAATCTTTAAGATGATGTGCTGCACAATTCCGCTGGCAGCAAAATAATAATAATTGGACTGCCCCTGAGGACCCCAAAGTGAGTAGTGTGTGTGCCGTATAGCTTATAGTTTAAGCCAGACCATCCCAAAATTATCCTCTACATTTATTGAAAATCTATGCAACCAATTAAGAGAAAACATTTGGGGTGCCCCTAAGGGTCCCATTAGTGATTTTCTGTGAGTCGCACATAACTTATGTACTGTATGACATCAGATTATGCCGAACATATCTCTGAAATTTGGTAAAAATCCATCCAGCTGTGTTTCTTCTTTCATAGCGCAATAACAGACAAGACAGAACTTGACTTTTATTTATACAAATCTGTAACTTACTGACTTTTAGTTTTGGCGTTTTCTAACTACATTGTAAGCTACCTTAGGTTTCATCCTGTGACGAAGGACAGCATATTAAATATATGCATATAAAACAGCACAGAATTGTTCTGCAGTTATGCACCAAGAGAACGGTAACAATAGGTTACAAACACAATGCGAGACTATTTAAAGCTTGTGCACTTACTAAATCCATTAGGGAATAGAGAGAATAATTCTTACAGATAAAGGCAGCATCTTCCATCTGATATGCAGCTCTAACAACTGGTTCACTAGTGTGTCAACACAGATGCCAACAAGGGAATTTTATGATTACCCTGAAAGTATTTCATGATGGATCAAGCTCTTAGAAGTGACCACTGGAAAACATTGATCCAGGAGATGAAAGATGAAGGCTGTGCACATGCCTTCAGTCACTGGGATTATTGAAACACATTGGAGAAGACTCTCATGGGGGTGTCAGAAGCGGAGTATGCAGTATTGATTCCCATTATGTTCTTTATTGTACAGCCATCTATTTATTAGGGCACTAAACAACAAATGGCAACAATGTGATTCCTTGAAAAGCAAGCGTGATAGCAGTTTTTATTGCCTTAGTACGCAAGAGGGGGGCATATTATTTATAAAGGCTCCCCACCCTTCCTAGGAGAGTGTACTTTTAGCTGCTGGGGTGAAAAGAAATTTAGCAGATGGTGATTTTTGCAGCATGCAGTTGCTATAATGAGAGACACTCATTTGTATTTGCTCTTGGTGAATTACTATTTAGGATACAGTTACCTGCTAATATTAGTTTTAAAAGGGGCTGGCAATATTGCTTTAAGACTGTTGGTGTTAGAATTAACACCTCCTGCCTAAGTTTATTATGGCTAATACATGCTGATTATCAGGTGTTGCACACCTAAAAGTCCAAGTTTGGACTCATAAACTGCCAGCAACAAACTGCTGCAAGTAACACCATGTCTTCTGCAGGTGTAACTACGCAACAGGATTTGGGCCATAAAAACAGCAAGTGTAGAGTGAGTAATTGGTGCCATGATTTTATGATCTTCTCTCATCCATAATCACATGAGAAACACCCATATCATAAATGTTTAATTTCTTTCCAAGGGCAGAAAAAGGCTACAAGCACTATCACCTTTCCCCTCTACAATGTTTCCTCAGTCAGTCATTCAGATTGCATTGGACAAGACCCAGTGGAAGAAATGCAGAGCCCTACAGATTTCACACTTTGTCCCACATTTTACAGTATCTAAAAAATTTGAATGTTTTCCTAAAATTTGTACATGTATTAATTTCCCCCATGATTTGGTTTCTCTGTTATGGGTTGGGAGTGTTCTTGTTTTTCCAAAAGAGTATCTTTGAAGTGGGATGCAGATGAACATCTTTTGTTTCCTAGATGATTAGAATTCTTAACTCTCTCAGGTGATACACAAAGGACCAGTGTTAAATATTAAAAAATCTGTTTCAGTCTTCACTAATTATATGTGAACGGTTTCAAAGAAACTACATGGAAAGTGTGAAAACAAAAATACAGGCTGCACACATAAGGCCCAATATCTTGGTCTCCTTAGGCTGCAGTGAAAAATACTCTCTCTCTCTCATTCACAGTAAAGTGGCTCACTCAGTAGCTCAAACCCTATTTACAGACTTAGAGACAACTTGCACCTGAGTTTGTCTTATCAACTCTTTGTACTCAAAGTGGCAGACTACGTATCATTACATGTTCACTTCCCTGGTTCAACACAAGTCAAAAGCAATGCATCACAAATTTTAAAAAAATATTGAAAATATTGGAAGTGAGAATTATCTTGACTTCTCAGCTCAATGCAACAGAATAGACCCACATCTGAGTAAGAGTACAGGCAGATTTCCTCATATTTTAAACTGCAGTTTCTATGCCACTTGGCACCACTCCGCCCATTGGCTAAAGTGCTCATAGTAATCCATTAATTTACCCATTATTATATTGTTTTATATTTTATTTCATAATTCCCTATGGATCTCCTAGTTATTTGTTTCTACTGCTCCCAAATTGTTATGCTTAATGCTGTTTGATACATAGTGGGCTTCTTCGGGCATTGTTAAGTGGAAAAGCGACAGATAGATAAACAACAATTTTAGAGGTTGTTGTGGGTTTTTCGGGCTCTTTGGCCGTGTTCTGAAGGTTGTTCCTCCTAACATTTCACCAGTCTCTGTGGCCGGCATCTTCAGAGGACAGCAAGATGCCGGCCACAGAGACTGGCGAAACATTAGGAAGAACAACCTTCAGAACACGGCCAAAGAGCCCAAAAACCCCACAACAACCATTAGATCTGGGGCGTGAAAGCCTTTGTGAATACAACAATTTTAGACTTCATTATCGTCTGCCCCACAGTGAGAAAGTGCAGATCAGGACATGCCCACCGAACTGCAAAATGAAATCACCTTCCTCAGACATCACTTGTCCAAGTCATTCAGGAGACAGCACGGAAACAGCCAGCACCCTCTTCTTATCTTTGTCAGTTCCTAGAAACTCAAGTAGGAAACAAGGAGCAATAGGAGGACTGGGATCAACAGGAAGAGTAAGGTCGGCCAAACTGGGTCCGTTTTTGAGATAACAGTGAGACAGAAACGAGGGAAAGAAGCAAGCAGCAAAGAGAAGGTGCAATCTTGCTCTCTTTCTTTGCAGTGCACTAATTATGTAAGTCTACTCTCGCAGACAAATGAAAACCTAAGCCCTGGTGCACAAGCGCAGAAACAGATCACCTGCTTTCATTGCTCTTTCTGAGCATGCTCAGATCCCAAATGAAGTAAAATCAGCAAGAGGATCGGTACTCGCATAACCTGTACAGTTCTTTAAAGCAAGACTGGACAATGTGCAACCGTCCAAATGTTGCACCTATCAGCTCTAGCCTGCAAAACCAACCATGAGGAGATGACAGCATCTGGAAGGGCGCACATTCCCTAGCCATATATCTGTGAAGATTCTCAGTCATCCAGGTGAGGTTATCCAGATGTTGAGTCATGGCAACTGGACTTCTTTCTTATTAGGTTGAAACATTTCACTACATCAGCCTGAGGAGAATTGGTAGGAGATCCCCGATATATCCTCCACACTGGTTTCACTTCACACTGGACTGAATAGGCTCGTTAGATGGACAAAGGACGGGGGGGGGGGGGGGTGAGTGAAAATCCCACCTCTGCAGTCCTTCTCCACCTGGTGGATGAGTAGCAAAATGTTTCAACGTAATAAGAAAGAGGTCCAGTTGCCATGAGTCAACTTCCAGATTCCCTAGCCATACCTTAAAGGCTACACTCGAGGCCTGCAAGGAAGAGCCTTTGGGGCGTGGTGGGGAACTGTCATTAGTATGCTTCAGGATGAAGTTTTTTTCTTAAAACTTAACATCTCTATTGAGCCTAAATTAAAGTAACTTTTGAAAATCAGACTTGCATAGAACAAGATGCAAATGGAACAGTATTCCTGGGCGTTCCCAGGACACAATAACTGTCATTTATGGGGCTAAAAGACTGCAGTACAAAAATTAGAATATTGCTCTGCATAGTATAGTGAAATTGTTTGGGTAAACTACTATAAAACCCAAGCATTACTGAACTGGTCTTTTCCATCTAACTTGGTTTAAAATCTTGGACTTGCAGACTGTGACTGCAATAAACTATGAGGGAATCTGCTCTAAAACACTACATAAAATTAGCATTTTGAGCAAAGTTCCATTTTAAATTATACTGACCCACTAACAGCATTTGTCCAAGATTTAAATGTTATTTATACAAGCATGATAGATTTTGCATTTTAACCTCTCTTATTATTTAGGATCATCCATCAGCAATATCATTCAGTTTTAACCAAGCTTGACCACTGGGCTGAGCTGGCTAGTGTGGATTTGTGAACAGTCCCTTAAAGGAGCTGTGGGGAAAGTCTGATCCTCCAAAATATGTTGGATGGCGGTTCTCAATGCTCCAGACCACTGGGCTAGGCTACCTCGGGCTGACAGGATTTGGAGCTGAATGACATATCTAGGACCTCACTTTCCCATCCTTCATCCTAAGGCTATTGTGTGAGAAGGAGACATGAACAGGTCACAGACACGCATATGGTTCAATGGTTTAGATATCTAGCAACAGAGCCAGAGAGGTGTTCTATTCCCCACTGTGCCTCCTTGACAGGGGATGAACTGGATCCATAGGATTCTTTCCAGATCTGTAGTTCAAATGATGATGACAAAGATATAGATTAACACCTGAAATGCTTATCTGTGTAAAAGTAGTATTTTGTCAAATTCTTTTCTACCAGAACCAGCAATGCAGGGTTTTGATCTTTCCAAACAGGAAATGAGCAGTGACACATCTCGCAACATGCACTTGAAAAGCCTGACATATTATCAAGCAAGTTCGTAACATTTCTGGTTGGCATATGATAATGCCATTTTGTATTTACTCCAAGACACTTCTCTTAAATTTAATGGCAGCCAAACAATGCTGATATTAAATAAAAATGAAAAGCAATGTTAAAAACTGGCATGCTTACTGGTTTTATTAATAGGGGTTGGCAAAGAAATACATTTCTGAATACAGAAATCACCAATCCATTTATAATTCCATACCTCCCATATCATTTTCCAACTTATTCCTCCTATACTTTTCTTACCAGTAACAAAAATGTATTTGATTAGCTTAAGAATAAGTAAGTTTTAAAATCATCAAGTATGCTGCAAATGCATGCAGTGCTTAAAATGTATCTTCCTACCTGGGTCAAGTGAACGTTTGGGTCTAGAAGCCCTCAACAGAGTCCCAAGTACAAAAGAATGCAGAAATTGCTGTACCTTTACAAAATTAGGCAGCAAATCTCTTAAGAGAATGGAAGGCTGAGAAACCCCCCGGAGATGCGATTGTGCAATATCTTGAGCTAGAAACAGAAACTATCAGCAAGAGTTGAGGTTAACAGATGAAAGTAATGAAAATCTACCATTATGAGTTGGATCTGGACTTCCCATTATTTGCCCATATCTTCTGCCCCACCCCTCCTGAGCCATACACCCCCATAAAAATCAGCTTCAAAGGATTCAGGACTTATCTCCATATCTATGGTAAACTATGCAGGAAGCTGCAGTGATGAATCACTGAGGGAAATTCAATAATAAGTTACAAATAGAGTAGGCCCATTGAATCAATGGAGAAGCTGACTCACTAACTCCCCACTAATTCAACGGTCCTACTCTAGCTGTAGCTCACGATAGGATTTCAGCCAGTGACATTTTTCTCCTCTGCCTTCCTCCAACAGAGCTTCTGATAGGATTTCAGTCTCTCAGGAAAAACTGTAGAAGGCCAATCTTAACCCAACATTAGATAACTACAACCTCCTCTTCTTAATCCTTCCCTTACAATCCAAGTCTAAATCAACCTCAGAGATCTCTTTCTCACAGAATTTTAATCCATTTATGGTCCAAAAAATAAAAGCAATCCACTTGAGCTGGAGACTTCTACATTTTTTTCCTGGTAAAATGTCCTTGATGTGAAAGCTACATAGTTATTTCCATAGGAAATGTGAGAATTCTGTTTTTTCATCAATACAAACAATGAAAACACCTGATATTAAAGCTATTTTCAATACAGCTACTGCTACGTAACAATATGTTTGTTTGCAAGTTCCATTCTGTTCTGATAAAAGCTATGAATTTCACAGAAATTAATAAGTCTAGTAAATTAAACTCTATTGCTTTCCTTCTTGAGAAAGAGGCTTAGAACAAGAACAAAGCTTTTCAAGACAGGAAAACAAGTGTAGTCAAACTGGAGCCTAGAATAAGCAGTGCCCAACTTTACAGAGTTTTATGTGCTTCTACTTCATATCCAAGTTGCCCCTGCAGATATATCATGGATTTTGAGCACAGAAGACACACACTAGAAATCCAAGAGAACCTTATTTGGAAGCATTGCTACCCACACACTTTGGCACAAAGTTCAATTTAGCATCTTCAAGGGATAAACTACTGTTTTCAGGTTCACAAAACTACTGAATATTTTCCTTTTATATAGGCAGCTCTCTGCTATGGAAGACTGAGGTCCTCTACATGGCATAAAGTTTCACATACTGCATTTCCAAGTCTTGGCACAATTTCTGCTATTTCAACACACTCCTGTGAGCCAGTGCAGGTACGTGGCACACACAGTTGTCTGGCAGCTGCAAAAGTAAGAAAGAGCAAGTTGCCTCATCAACAAGCATTTCCAACTTATCGGTTAAAATAATCAATGAAAGTCAGGTTCGTACATGTATATTTGCTTTCTGGAAGCTGCAGAATGCAGCAGTGACTTGAATGTGTGAACAGACCAAAACAGATCTACAACACATTGACCTTTCAAACCCCTTCAAACATGCTTTTCAGTGAAGTCTGTTCACACTTTCAGCTGCCAGTCAGTAATACACAACAAGAATGGGGAATATGCAACCCTCCAAATGGGTGTTACGATTCTGATTCCTATCATCTCTCACAACTTGCTATGCTGGGTTTGGCTGATGGCAGTTTCAATCAGATAATATCTGGAGACCTACATATTCCCCACCCCTCCTGTAAGTATATCGAACAACGTTCCTGAATGTGTGAAGCAGCTTTTAGGTTTCCACCTTAAGCACTGTGTCATCTTAACTGTCTGTTATCTAGAGATGGGCACGAACCACCAGTTTGTCCATTCATCCTTTGGACGAAGAGGTGTTTGGCACTTCCCAGCCCTACCTCCTCCTGCGGATGCTGCTCAGAGGCAGTGCCTGGAGGAAACAGGGCAAGGAAGCCAGGATGCTGCCTCTGAGTGGGTGCCTGCCAGAGGAGGCAGGACTGGTAAGTGCCAAACACCTGTTTGTCCAAAGGATGACCAGATGGTCTGTGCCGACCTCTTCAGCTATCACATCTGGCAGAAGGCCAAAGTTAGCATAATCCTTTCATCTATCTCTTATGATGGGGTGGGCCTTAGCATCCTCAGTGGTGAGGAATTCTGGGAGTTGCACCAACATCTGGAAGACAGCACTTTGCCTACCTTTGACATATAAAAAGCTTGTCTGCAGCACATGGTGCTGAGTAGGCATTTGAAGACAAGTCACAAATAGATACAACCCTGATATACTTGTTTTGACTGGATGGGTGCATCTTCACTCAGCTCTGAATATATGATATTGTCTTTTAGCAAAGTCAGAGCACTGGTACACCTGTCCCAGAAACCTTCATTTACGACAAGCAGCAACGAAGGTCTTCAGCATGCAAAGCACATGCTCTAACACAGTGGTCCCCAACCTTTTTGGAACTGTGGACTGGTTGGGGGGGGGAAGGCTCGGGGGGACCCCCGCGCTCATGGTGGATGCGTCGCTCACACAACATGCCCACCCGCGAGTGCAACTCACCCACCATGCGTGCATGTGGGGGGGGGGGGGAGATCTGTCTTCACAGCCCAGTCCTGGAAAGCCCACGAACTGGCCCTGGGCTGCAGACCAGGGGCTGGGGACACCTGCTCTAACACTAAGCTATAGTTTCCATTTAATCACATTATTGGGTTGGTACTGAAAGCCATCAGGGGCCTTAAGAAGATCAGTCCTTCCCAGAGTGACAAATATTGCCATCCTTTAGAGAGAAACATTTTGGTTATCAGTACCTGAGCACCTAATCTGGAGAGATACCTATTCCTCAAACTAAAGTCATTCTTTGGTTGTAATTTGGCTAAGTCATCTTCGTTCTGACGTCTGATTTTTTCCCGTCTTTTTTCTCTGTGAAGACAAAGGGAACGCTATTAATGCACACATGCAACCAAGAAACGTGCTACAGTACTACTGCTGAACATTATTCACAGATTATGATTACGGTTAGGCACAGTTAGAAAGGCAATTGAAGTAAAACTGATAAACAGTAAGGACAAGTACTCTTTTTCTACAGTATTTATTTATAAATGTCAAAATTCCAGTGCAAAATATGATTTTCAACATGCTCAGTCAAAGTCTGAGTTCTGCTGTTAACGAACAAAACTGCACTTAAAACAGAATACAGTTCTAGTATAAAACAGGAGATTAAAATGCCCTACTCGTAAGACTGCTGTTCCCAAGACTGTTCGGAAAACAGCCAAGATTTCATTCTCTCAAGAGACATAGCATTTGATTTCACAGATCTCCAGTCACTGCCATACATAAAACCAGAATTTCAACTTAAAAACTCATGATCCTGAAAGGCATATCATAATTTTATTAGTAGCTGCCAACCACATTGAGAAACTTAAAAAATATATATTACCACCACATTTTTAAGGCAACTGTTGCTTTGGAACCCAGTATGCAGTTATCAGTAACAGTACACCATTATCACCAGGTAAATCAACATTGCTCCACAGTAGAATAATAAAATCATTTAAAGTGCTGCCATATTCCGAAAGGATTTGCTCCAAACTAAGATGATAACTTCAGTTGAACAGTAATAGTCTCCGTACTGATGTGCCAATGGTAACATAAGTGTTGTGCCCTGACTTGCAATCCAAGGGCTTTTATAAAGTGTGAATGTAGAAATCAAGCTATTAAAAATTCAGCACATATTGGTAAGGATTCCAAATCAACTACTTTGAACAGCGTAGGTTCAACCCTTGGATATAAACACGCTACAATACTCTTCAACTGGACATGGTGCTGATCAAGGGCTCCTCACTTCCGGAAGATATTTCCTATTCAGATCTCTTTTCTGAAAAAGATATTGTAGCGACAGGTTACTGTAAGTGTCAAGGTAGTCAGCTTTTCTCTCTGCACAGCCTCTTCATGTTCTGATGGTAACCACAGTCTTACCCAAGTAAGTGTCCTCCTAATATTTGAGGTTACAACTCACCTGGGGCTGATACCTGGTGGACACCAGGTTGTGCAAGGCTGCACTAGGTTAGTGCAGGAAAAGGGATGGAAGCACTTGCCAATGGGGGCAAGTACAGTGGTGCCCCGCATAGTGATGTTAATCCGTTCCGGATTAATCGTCGCTATCCTGAAACATCGCAATGCGGGGGGGGAACCCCATAGAAACGCATTAAACTTCGTTTAATGCGTTCCTATGGGGCGAAAACTCACCGTTATGCGAAAATCCTCCATAGCGCCACCATTTTCGCCGCCTCGGTAAGCGAGGAAATCGTGCGAAAATGGTTGCGGTGGCCATTTTGGGCCCCCGGCGGCCATTTTGGAACCGCAGATCAGCTGTTCCACAAACATCGCAATGCGAAGATCGGTAAGCAAAACGCTTACCGATCATCGCAATGCGATGTTTAGGCTATTAAAACATTGCAATGCGATCACATTAGCGATCCCAAAAAATAGATCGCTATGCGGATTTGTCGTTAAACAGTGCGCTCGTTATGCAAGGCACCGCTGTAATCCTAATATATTTTTTAAAAGAAATATTTGTCCCACATTTCTCACACATACAACTTCAGTCCCACAAGAATGTCCAGAGGAGCTGCCTGTTCACCATGCCTGAAGTTGAACTTTCCAAGAAGGAACTGCCCTTGTTTCTTTGATACATGTGGCATGAAATACATTTATCATTCAGCAGCTATTCAGGTTTTAAACAGTTTATCCTGCAGAGGGAAAGACTTCACTGCACCAAATTTTACATAGGCACAGTTGAAAGCTCAGCAAGAAAACTTTTGAGAGACACTGTTGCTTAGCATAATTAAGTCACACTACAGTAGGATTTCAGCAACTATGTAACAGTAAAATAGTTATAAAGCAGACATAGAAAAAAGCATTTACAGCTGAACCACAGGTACATTTCCTACCGTTAATAACCTGAAGTTAAGATTTCAGTATCACATTTGGATTCTAAAGGCTATTAAGGAGCAAAGGGTTACGGAAAGCAAAACATTGCTGAATTTTTCAAACCAGCAAAAGCTTGGGGCTTGTTATCTGTCACAGTATCAGTTTATGCTATACTTTAGCCGTGTGAACTCTTAGGTTCAGAACTATGTTTAATGACTTTCCCCAAAGCAGCTAGATCAGTATGACTACAAGATACTTTTCACATAGCACAAAACATTTCAGAGATAGCTGGTTGGTACCCGCCTGGCGTGCTCTGGTCCATGGGGTCACGAAGAGTCGGACACGACTAAACGACTAAACTAAACTAAAACTAACCCGCCTTTCACACATCAATTTTTTTTTCATTACCGTAGTCTGGCTTAGATCAAAATGTAGGTAAAATTTAAATGTCACTTGAAATGCTGAAGGATTTCAGGTGGTCATCACTATGTAATGATTAGAAATGAGCATGAACTGCTGGTTTGTGTCCTGGTCAAACAGCTGATCTGCAGTTCCGCACCACACCCCCTCCAGCAGGCACCCACTCAGTGGCACTCCCTGGAGGAAGCTGGGTTTTGCCATCAAGGGGACACCTGCAGGATGGGGCAGGCCACCAAACTGCCAATCTAGCTGTTAAGCCACGAAATGAACCCCGCTGAACTGCTGAACCATCATCTCTAGTAATGATGGTGGAATAAAAGGTTTATGTAACAGCAGATTCTGCTAATGTGTCAATCAGAAATAGGAGTAGTGTGGTGTGATTAGTAAAAACAGTGTATATGAAACAGTCTGACCAACAGGAAAATAATGGCAAATGATGTGCTATGACAGCTGACAAAGAACACTGGAGTAAGAAAACAATACAAAATAACTCTGTGGGATAACAATGGGTTTAGTATTGACTAGGAACAGAAGTGGACGTTATGACTGAGTTAGTTTATATAATCTTAGTGTGGTGTGATTAGTAAAAACAGCGTATATGAAACAGTCTGACTAACAGGAAAACAATGGCAAATGATGTGCTATGACAGCTGACAAAGAACACTGGAGTAAGAAAACAATACAAAATAACTCTGTGGGATAACAATGGGTTTAGTATTGACTAGGAACAGAAGTGGACGTTATGACTGAGTTAGTTTATATAATCTACTGTAGAACAGTGTACTATTATTGTGTGTTTTAAAAGGGGGAATTCTCCTTCAGCATTATAACATTTCAACTCAATATTTCAACACAGGACAATAAAAGAGAATCATGTATTGTGATTAAAATCTTAAACCTGTATCATAGGAAAAGTGCAGATCTGTATTTTTGGAATGCAATTCCCAGCACAACCCAGGCAGCACGGCAGAATCTGAGACTTGTAATTTAAAAAAAAAATCCCACTGTGCACCTCTAGTTTCAGTCATCTTAGCCAACTTAATTATGATCAGTGTGATTGACTTTAAAAGTCCATTATTTATCCCATTATTCATATGAAGGAAGAAATGTAGGTCTGAAGAAAAATCCTGGTGATAACATACCACTAAGAAGAAAGGCTAAAGATGGTGAGAAAGCAATTTACTCCTTGGAAGAGAACTGGAATAAGTCTGGCAACCACAAAGTAAGGACAAGGACTCTTAATAACTAACCAATCTCATTGATGTCAATAAGATTAAAGCATCATTTACATAATCTGGATCCAATGCATTACCCCACATACAACTGACTTGTATTACAATCTGCCATGATATCAATAAGAATTTTTCCAATCTCTTATCCCCAAGCAGGTCAATAATGCTTAGTATACATTACTGCACTCAAAGAAAACTGACTCCCTTCATTTGAAATAATTCATATATAGTTTGCAAGTGTATCATATTCCCAATTCCACTGCAGATCCATCTGCACTTTGCAGTCCAATTGTTTTGATAATACTTAATACATATGTTCTAGATTAGAGACACATTTAGATAACTTACTCAGCAACAGCTAGCTTCTGAATTTTTTCCCTTTTCTTTGCAGACCAGTTAAGGTCACCTCCTGTGGCAGAAAAAAAAACACACCAATGTATGTAAGTGATCACTTGAACATTTTTACAAGTCGTTCTCCACTCTAACAGCTTGTGTTGTAGTGCAAGCAAAAGTGGATCGCAAGTTACCTAAGTGTCCTCAAGTTCTTACAACTTGAAAAAAGTAACTGCAACTTGTTTAAGGATTCATCTAAGCTGCTTTTATCTATGCAGCTGTTGTTCTGTGCCACTGAGTTAGAACTGACTTATAGTGACTCTAATAGGGCTTTCAAGGTAAGCGGGATATTTAAAGAGTGGAGCAGAAAGGCTAGTAATCACACTACACAAGCCACAAGTACTGGCTAGCATCCTGTTGTGTAGCTCCACCTATGCAATGGGAGTGATGTCACTGGCTGCAGAACATTGCCACTAATTAAAGAGTTCTTTTTTAAATTTTAGGATGCATGACTTTCCAATGATGCAAAGCCATGTGCATCCTGAAGTTGAAAAAAAAGAACTCTTCATTTAGAGATAACCTGCCACAGCCAGCATCGCCACACCTGGTGCGCAGGTGGAAATACTCAGTAGGATACTGGCCAATAGCACACTTAAGAGAAAATCATAACAACCAAAACTCAAGTGCGTAACATCCATCTGCCAACAGCCCATGTATGTTTTCCTATTCCCAAAGATAATCCTGATGTGCAACTCTGGTGTTCTAAATTAGCAGTGTGTAAATTCTTAACAAAAAAAGTCTTCAGATTGAGGTCTTGTTATGCACCTCCTTGTCCTTAGTATGAAACAACTATCTACAGACTACCCTTGTTCAGTCCTACATTTGTTACTTTCACTGAAGCCAGTTTGCCCTGGAAACTGTTTACAAATCTAAGCTTCTCTCTGCATATTGACTATTATATTCATAGCCATCTTATTAAGAAAAGTGTAAATTTTTTAAGACTGCAAATTCACTGTATATGTAAGTTTTATTTTGGATTAGATGGAATCTGATTCCAAGTTGTAAATGAAGTCCTACAGGAAATGCTGCAAGTGAAGATAATTACCAAAAGGATTAATTTGCAAGTAATCCCTAACTCACTTAATACAATGTCAAAAGAGAAATGCTTTTTTTTAGGGAAATGTACTCTGTGATCCTCAGAGTTAAGAAGTATAATTCTGAGTACAGTGGTGCCCCGCTTAATGATTACCCCAATCCACGACAAATCTGCTTCACGACGATGCTTTTGCGATTGCAAAACGATGTTTAAATAGGAAAAAACTGCTTGACGATGATCAGTTCCCTGCTCCAGGAACCGATTTTTTGCTTTACAACGATAAAAAAACAGCTGATCATCGGGTTTCAAAATGGCCGCCCGCTGTGCAAAATGGCTCCCCGCTTTTTTCACGACTGATTTTTCGCTTTACATGCACCAGAAAATGGCCGCCTTATGGAAGATCTTCGCTGGACAATGAGGTATTTCGCCCATTGGAACGCATTAAACGGTTTTTAATGTGTTTCAATGGGGGGTTTTCCCCCGCTTGACGAAGATTTCGTTCTACAGCGATTTTGCTGGACTGGATTATCGTCGTCAAGCAGGGCACCACTGTATTAGATATTAGGACCAAACAAAAGACACCAACCTTCTTATCCTCTTTTTAAACTTCCAATAGACACCTAGATAGTTCTGACTGGTAACAGAATACAAGACTGGGTAGACGTGGCTTTTGTGTTCTTAACTTGATAATGAGCCCATAGTTTTAAATTATATTTATTATGTCATTTGGAACAATACTGTAATGCTCCAATATTCCACTCTTGATCAGTTCTAAGGAAACACAGAACTTAACAAGAATGATATGGTAGACTCATGATGTACATGGATATGAAGATGGGCCAACCAAGGTCATCTTCACTGAATAGTTGTTTTCCTTTTTCTGGATTGCACATTATATTTTATGTTTGCAAATCAAGTGTGTTCCTGCACCTGGAACTACTGGATTGTGACAGAGCATAAGTGGCCAGAGTATCTTTTTTTAACCCACACTGCAATTCTATATTCATTTATTGAGAGTAGTTCTCAATGAATTAAATACTATTTCTGAGCAGACCTGTTTGACATTATACAGCAATACTTTGTCAGCCTCTTGGGCCCTTGATTGTGGGGTTCCACACAGGTCGTCAATCTCGCCAATGCTCAGGACATTGCATGCATGTATTGGTGATGTCCAGTATTGACTACTGCAACGCTCTCTATGGGTGGCTTCCCTTGGGGTTTCAAGAGACTGCAGAAGACTCATATTTCCCAGGAAGCTTTTGGTGGCAGCCTCCCCTGGTATTGGTCATTTTCTACTTCTGCCCAGTTTTACTACACCATCTGGGTTTTCACATTTATCTATTTTTTCTTGTTTGTTGTTTGCCTGTTACTATGTTGGATTATGTCATTTTGCTTTTGTTCTGGTTTTTATATGAACAATGCCCAGAATAATGCTATGCACAATGGGGCAGTAAATCAATCAATCGCACACATTTTCATTCTAACTATAAAGCCAGTCCCACTGTGGTCTATAATTTTAGTCCACATTGAGATCACCTTCTGTAAACACTGAAGACTCACAAAAGATACATGCATCAAATAAAGAGAATAAAAGATAGATGCTTACCTCTGAGCAAATTCACAAAGTACAGCATGACTACAGCAATGAGTGACACTGAAAGAAAGAAGGAGGTATATAAAACTCAAACCTAAGGTGAAGTACTCTTACAAAAGAAGTCAAAAGCCAAAGAGCTTCAAATAAAATGTTTCTTTAGCATGAAGATTGTTAAGACAATCTACTGTACTCTGGGCAACAGCGTGCAGCAAGCAATTCCTTCACTTCCAGGAGTACTGCACTGTCTGGTCAAAATCAGTCTGATCATCGTGACATTTTAATTGGTTTTTTATTTAGCCTATATTTCATGTGCATCTATAGTTTTGAATTGTGTATCGCTCTGATACAAATAAAGATAATGACTGTAAACCATCCAAGCAGTAGAAGGCCAAAGCAAAAAATGGAGTAAATAAGAATAGTAATTTTAAGGCCCACAGTTAGGAAGATGGAAAGGAACGATGGCCCTTGCTCAGGTTCTATTAGAATACTTCCAGGATACAGTGGTGCCTCGCAAGATGAAAGTAATTTGTTCTGTGAGGAGCGTTGTATTGCGAAATTTTCATCTTGCGAAAGCACGGTTTCCCATAGGAATGCAAACGAATTATTTTCCCCTTGTGGGGGGGAAAAATCATCTTGCGAAGCATGGCCATAGAAAAAGCCATCTTGTGAGTCACCACAACAATCGCAAAACGCTTTCATCTTGCGAGTTTTTCGTCCGGCGAGGCATTCGTCTTACGAGGCACCACTGTACTTCTTTGCATTTCACTTAGTCACTGAAGGAAAAAAAAACTATTTCTGTTTCCAGATGATGTTATACTTACAACACACACAAGCACTGAAAAAGATTTCTAGGAACAGGTATCCTCGAGAATCCAGTATTGTACCAGCTGCAAGGGCAATAACAGCGAGACCCAGGTTCTGAATTGACTGCATGCTAGAAAACATTCAGAGGATTTGGTTACATAGCCAATGTAATCATTTCATCTATTCCATATAAGAAATTAGTTAAAAAGATTAATACCACTTTTCTGGAGAATTCAAATCAGTTTAAAGGCTGCGTAATTTTTAAAAAATTACAATCTACTATATAATAGTAGACTATGTCTAGATGGGCGGCATATAAATGCAATAAATAAATAAATAAACAAACAAACAAATAAACTAGCCTTATAACACTTCAAATTAAAACAAGCAGCAACCAAAAAAAGCACATATTCAACTATAGGAAGACCTGTTGTCTCTTTAAGCTACAGCGTTTTCAAAAACAGGTATGTTATTTATCCATGCAAATTGCCACCATTTCACTTTCAAGCTGACCTACAAAGCTAGAAATTCAGGGAGCGCTAGGCAACGTCTATATCTGTGACATGATTAGCCACTTTTGAACATTTCTAGAGTTGGTCACGGTGGCGACTAGAGCATGGAAGGGGTCAGAATTTGCTCACGTTCTGATACGCAGAGGTTCATATCTTCAGCCACTCATCTCTTGGTTCCATCTAGAGACGGGCACAAGCTGCCAGTTTGGTGGTTTGTGATAGTTTATTTAGTGGCCAAACAAGTGTCTGGCACTTCAAAGCCCCACCTCCCCTGGTGGGCACCCACTCAGCCTGGCTTCCCTGTCCCACCTCCTCCAGATGCTGCCTCTGAGTGGGTGCCCTCCAAAGGAGGCGGAGTTTTGAAGTGATGAACACCTCTTCGGCTGCTAAACAAACCAGCACAAACCACTGAACCAGTGGTTCATACCCATCTCTAGTTCCATTCTTTTTGTTTTCACATCACATTTTTATTCTGCCAAATTCAGAGCAGTGCTCTTGGAGTCAAGTCCACAGTGTAGAACTGGCACCTGAATAAGGCGGCCAGCCTCCCAAGCCTCATTAGCAATCTTGACCTTCAAGAAAAACTTAGTTTGAATGCATCCAAGAATATATTTTTGGAGGCTTACCTTAAGTTCATTAAGGAAAGCAAATATTTGCCAATTCTGTAGCTAGGTTAGTATCTGTAAGCCAAAGGATGTGAAACACTAGAAAACTATGAGCTGTTTTATCCATACGTTTAAGGACAAGATCTAAGTATGTCTTACTTACAAACCATAAGCTGTTCCCAGCTGGTGTTCGGGGACAACAAACGCCACCATAGGCCACAAGGCACAGGCAAGCAGGGAATAAGCAACTCCCAACAAACACTGTGGAAGGCAGATTCAAAAGAACTCATTAGGCACCATCTAACAGCTCCAAAGGGAGCAAATTATGTGGGTTTAAACGAATCAAATGCCACATCTACACTCATTTGCCTCATGATAAGAGGCTATGTTTGCTTGTTAATTCTGCTACTGATGTAACATGTAAGTATATAAAACAGGTGGTCAGGTGAGATAACATGCATCTATGGAGAATACAAATACCCAACAAACAACATCTAGAACTCTTAATAAACATTATCAGCCACACCATGAAGCTCTCTCGACTTTCATTTTAAAAAAGCTGCTACAGAATGTTTGCTATCTAAGAAGGAATCAGGACCGCATGTAGATGTTTATTATTTCGTATTCCATCCTCATTCGTGCAAACAGTTCCACAGCATAACACACCCAACAATTCATTGTGGAAGATCAACTCCTAATGCACAATGCTCATTTCAGCAAAATAAAATCAGTGGAAATACCTACCATGGCAACCCAGGGGTTCCAAAAAGTAAAGGCCAACATGATGTGAGAAGCTAGGGTGGTCACCACAGCAAATATAACCCAGGTAATATTCCTTCCAACTTTGTCTACTAGGAATCCAAAGACAGGTGACATGGGTGCTGATATGACATACACAATGCTGTCAAGAAAAATAATTACTTCAATACAGAGTGGGATCTATAAATCATAATTATCTTCTCATTCCTACGTAGCTTACTATTTGTGTTTAAAAATAAGAGTAATTCCCAGCCCCTGAAAAAAAATTTCTGAGCTTACAGATGGAACTGTTTAGAGTACATTTGGGAGTATAATTCTTACCTCTTGTTAAGAATGGGACATGAAGTGATCTTGTGTGTCCACGTCCACCACCACCACCACCACCACCACCCCACCTTGTTAAGAATGGGACATGAAGTGATTTTGTGTGTCCACGTCGTCCACCACCACCACCACCACCCCCGTTTGAACAGCACTGCTCAATTCCACACCACAAACTACTTTGGCAAGTGCCATTCTCTGAACAGCACTGCTCAATTCCACATCACAAACTACTTTGGCAAGTGCCATTCTCTGGCATTTATGTGGCAGATATGGCTACTGTCCAAGATACAAGTCCAAACCCTTTTTGTACACATGGCAGGTGTTCCTTTGTCTCTCAGCCCAGACAGGCTACTGTGATTACAGAAAAGCAGGTAAACAGAAGGGCTAGACATCTGACTTCCAACATTTATGAAAGTAAAGAATCTGAAGGTTCTAAAAAGGTTGTTGTTGTTTAGTTATTAAGTCGTGTCCGACTCTTCCTGGCCCAATGGACCAGAACACGTCAGGCCCTCCAGTCTTCCACTGCCTCCCGAAGTTTGGTCAAATTCATGTTGGTAGCTTTAGTGACACTGACCAACCATCTCATCCTCTGTCGTCCCCTTCTCTTGCCCTCACACTTTCCCAACATCAGGGTTGCATGTACTCAGATATACGTATATTGCATATCTATGCTTCAAATTAAAAGTTATATTTTTATTTTTAAATTCATTTTAATTGTTTGTGGCCTTGCTGCTATTAAGTGGGTGTGTCAGGCACACACTGCCCTCAAGTTAATATTAGGATAAGACAACACACACACTAAATTATTGTGTAACATTTACCTGTTGATTGCACTTGCTTCTTGAGAGGAAAATTTGAATTTCTCAATGAAGAAAACCCTGTTGAATAAAAGTCAAGAGCATTTTACAATGGCACCAATTTAAAACAACTAGTCTACAACACATTTGCTCACAAAAGGGTCACAGCCCAACAAAAACAGGTTTGTTGAAAAGGAGTTCTACTTTAAGCAATGGGTAAGAACAATATGACACCCTTTCCCATTCCATGTGAGAAAAAAAATGACTGAACCCTGCAGCTGAATCTTATTTGAACAGTGGTTAGGGAACAGCAGTGATGAGACATCACCTGAAAGCAACAGAAGGTAGTTTAGGGCAGTGGTTCTTAACCTTTGTTACTCAGGTGTTTTTGAACTACAACTCCCAGAAACCTCAGCCAGGAGAGCTGATGGTGAAGGCTTCTGGGAGCTGCAGTACAAATTAACAGAAACCTCAGCCAGCAGAGCTGATGGTGAAGGCTTCTGGGAGCTGCAGGCCAAATTAAGAACCAGTGGTTTAGGGGATGTTTGCCTAGCTTCACAAGACACAGCTCTCTGTTCTCATGTCTTCCTACCTTCTCTGAGCATATAGCACCTGACATGACCATCCTATTCCATTTAATGGCACAGCCAGCCTAAAGAAGAAATTATTCCATGTTGTACATCAATCAGAAGTGGGAAATCTCAGCAGGGCTACAAGCATTTTTCAAATTTCTTAGTAGCCTGAGTGCTATACATTCAAGGAGCAGAACTATGAAAGGAGAATGGCTAAAAGAGGCAAATTTGCATATTAAATTCCTTATTAGTTAAGAAATGTAAGTTGGGTTCTTGTAGGTTTTCTTCCTAACGTTTTGCCAGTCTCTGTGGCCGGCATCCTCAGAGGACAGGAGTCAGAACTGTTTGTTCAGCTAAAAATGGGTTTAACTAAAACTGGTGGGTTTTTTAAAAAGCCCTATTACAATCTTTAGTGACAAAAAAGAATTTTCAAAGAATTTTTAAGATGGGGGATATAGGAGGTTGAAGGCTAAATGGCCCCACATCTAAAACACGGCAAAATTATCTTCATCCCATCACTAGGTGACTGGCTAAACAACAACAAAAATTTCTTGTTTTAAAAAAAATCAAGGAAGGAAGGATCCTACCCTTATTCTAAACAAACATCTGCTCACACCCTCCACAATGAAGCTGTAAGTGCAACACAGAAAGAAACTTGCACATGAGCTGATTCACATAACAGTGATACAGTAGAGAAACACCTGTCAGAGAGAAATCCTTTAATTTCTCTTTAATGGGGATGGCTAACTGCCCTTTAATGGGGATGAGAGGAAGAGAAGACAGGGCAGGGACAAAATGAGAGAGAGAGAATCTTTAAGCTTCAAAAAATTCGCCTAACGCTATTCAGATCGAAACCCTGGAAGATATCTTGCTATTAAGATGAACAGCAGTTGTGCATTTTTAAAAGAACCACTGCAACTAAATTATGAGTATGCCATCTATCAAAGCAGGCAGGGGACTGGTGCTAAGTGTGCAGACTTATTAAATGTATACCAGTTGCCGATGTATACCATGTATAAATGTATACATCAAGCATGGCATACATTTTGATTTTGTTTGCCCAGCACTTGCCTCTATGGGCAAAGGTTCTATATAACTCACCAGAAAAAAACCCCACACATGTACACAATCCTATAATTGGCACTAGAAAGACTATTTCAAGTTTCAGACTTTGAGATGCTACTCACAACTTACTGTGTGCTAAACCTACGGTGCAAAAACAAAAAACAGGACTGAATTAATAGAACAGCCTACTATGGCTTTTGGAGAAGGAGCATATGAACAAGTAAGTGTACGAACACACACCATGCAACACACTAAGATAATTCTTTATGCTCAATACCCCAGTTCAGCCATAGCATAGTACAGTCTCCTTTACCTACAGGTTGCTTCCAAAAGCCCAGCGACATTCAAACTATGATGTAACTGGTGTTTACTAACTGGATCACTTTGAACTACTGAAGAATGCAAGCTCACAACTGAATCACCAAATCATATCACCACTAAAGAAAGTTTTCAAGAACAGTGCACAGTAGCTGGCATCACATTAGAATAAACAGTGTAATTCAAACAGAGAGAAACTACACACTTTATAGCTACCATGAATCCCACAACTCCTTGTGTCTCTCATCAGGCTAATGAAGTAGTGAAGTAGGGAATCTGAGGGAAGAATTAACAGGCAGCAAGAAACTGCCTGACTCTGACAAATACACTGTTTCTTGTCAGGATTCATAGTGACCGACAAGGTTTCTGGAAAATGTATTCCTGTAGCTCTAATTAGTTATGTGCTGTCAAGTTGGAACCAACTTACAGCAAGCCTAACAAAGCTTTCAAGGTAAGTCAGATATTTAAGGAGTGGTTTTACCAGCTCCACTCCCCCACTGAGCTTCCATGAACAAGTGGAGATTCGAACCCTTGTCCCAAGTCCTAGTCCGTCATTCTACCTATTACACCACACTCGGTTCCGGTACATATAGCTCTGCCTTTAGAGGAATAGCCATAGAATTCTGAAGTCAACAGTTCTGGATTTTCTTTTTAAAGAACCTACAATACTTAATAAGTTACTACTGTATATTCTGAAACCCTTCCTTCCCCCCCCCCCCCGAGTCTTGTGCTGTACTCTGAATTTTTTTGGCTTCTAACATTTGTGTAAAAATTTCAGCATTCTATGTACAGATCACTACAAAATAATATTTGATCAACTCATTAAATTAAACATGCAACTCTAACCCTATACCAAAATGTGCAACTAGATCTCAGATAAAGAGTTTAGGCATTACCAGGGAAAAAGGAAAATTTCAACTGAGGTATATTATGTTTCCCAAATTTTCCCTAAAATGTTCTGTCTCTACTCATCATAAGGCCCTCTCTTCAAATGCAGATATAGCAGAACAAAGACACAAGGATACATGTTGGGCAAAATCCTGTTGCATCAAATAGCTGCCAGATTGTGGCCACTGGGATTGAGAGTGCTGCCAGCAATCTAGTGAGGTTTTATGATGATGATGATGATGATGATGTTCCCTCACCCTGTCCTGCAGATCCAAAGGCTTGCTCTGGTCAAAAGGGAGCCCTATGGAGCCTTGGACTTAAAAGGAGAGGGATCGGAAGCTTTCAATTACTTTAAATTAACAGCCTGATCCGGATTACACCATGCAAAGTTATACCAACAAGATTTTGTCCACAATTTCCTACATAGGGTTGTTGTCCATGTATGAGGATCTAAAACAAAATAATAGAAAGCAACAATTTTGAAAAATTCAGGCATGGCATTTGCTTTGCTAACACTGACAAGTCCTATATCTTGCACTTACTTTCCAAGTCCAATGAAAGGGAAGACAGCCACATAATAACACACACAGATGATAAATATGAGCCACAAAGACAATGAGAAGTCTTTCACATCAGTTAATTTAATCACTTCACCTTAAGAAAAGAGAAACATCAACATCAGATTAAGTTGGATATTTAAAGTCTGATTTTAAGAAAAGTGTGACAAACTTCAACTTTATGCAGTGGTTTTTTGGAGGAATCAGATAAAACACTATCCATATGTTTTAGAACATTCATTTATTTTATTTATTTATTTATTCAATAAACTTCAACTTTATGCAGTGGTTTTTGGAGGAATCAGATCAAACACTATCCATATGTTTTAGAACATTTATCTATGCCACAGCAAGTTAGATTTAAAGACCAGAGTGCAGGTGTTACCCAGTTAACTTTGTTTTACACACACACAAGCCCATTGAATCCAACCTCCTGCAGAAATCATCTATGTCACAGTAAGTTAGATTTAAAGACCAGAGTGCAGGTATTACCCAGTTAACTTTGTTCTACAAACACAGAAGCCCATTGAATCCAACCTCCTGCAGAAATCCATGTTCAAGTACATCTATCAGATGGCTAACTTCCTTTTGAATGCTTCCAGTGCTGGAGAGCTCACATAGCAAGCTTTTTAATAACTTGAAATACCAGCAACTGATATATTCCTCTTACATCCAGTTAAACAGCAATGGCAAAGAGCAGCTCCTCCAGATGTTGTTGGACAGCAACTCATATCAACATAGCCAGTGTAGCCAAAGGTGAGGAGTGTTGACAGCTGCAGTGAAACATCAACAGGAGGGCTATACTTTGCCCACTGTAATTTAAAACTTATGTATCCTCACCTTTTCATTCAGCACAAGCACAACTCTTAGCTTAGGGAATGTCATGTATTCAGTTCTCAAGAAATGCATAAGCCATGCTCAAAAAATAATGGCTTGTGCTCAAACAGCCTAACATTATTCTGACATTTCACAGTTTTTGTAATTGCACTTCCAGTTTAGAAACTGGACCACTGACCAAGATATTGACACACTTAATGGCAAAATGGGTTACTTCTCTGGCAAACAGGTAAGCCTTTCATGCTGTCCCACTCCTAACACTCCATCTGGTTTTCAACATTTGAAAAAGACTGGTTTCCAACAAAACAGACTAATTTGTTAAGGTTCAGAAAAGCAGAGAAATCTCCTATTTACTTCAGATCAAGAATTCAGCCTTTCTGCTTCTTGTCATTGACTTAACGTGGGTGTATCTTACTCAGGGGAAATAATTCTAGCATCATGAAAGTTTTTGGTCATTTCAAAACAAGTTGGCATTTCCCTGCTAAAATATTTGACACCTTATCACAATACTCTGTGAAAGGAAGGCAAAAGAGAGAGGGACCAGTCAAAAATATTGCTTCTACTCCCTCCCCTACGTATCTTTAGAAACAAAAATTGTATTACTGAAAAATAACACTCACTTACCAGTCTTTCCTTGCTCTTTGCAAAGAATTTTCTCAGCTCTTCTATCCAGATAAGCAAGAATGAGTGCACAGATTAATGAAAAGATGCATGTCACACCACCTGCAATTGAAAGATAAATACAGTCCAACAGGTAAAGTTACGCCATAGATGGCAAACTCAAGGGTAAATGATTATACATATTCCCAACCTGTAGGTTATGACTTCCATGTGCAGAACTGCTAATGTCAAATACCAATAGCTCCCTTATCATGCTATATCAGACATTATATTTACCAAATTTATATACCACCAGAGATGGGCATAACCCTCAGTTTGGAGGTTCATGCAGGTTCGTCAGCATGGCACCTCAGGTGCTGAGTGTTCCCTTCCCCCACCTCGCCAGCTGGCTCCTCCACTCACTAGGCAGCACACACTGCTCTTTCCCTCCTCTTCACACAATTGTCCTGTTGCAGCAGGAGCACATATTTCCCTTCTCTGCCTCCTCCTGCAACTGCCCACTCACACATGGAGGCGGGGCAGGGACTCTTGCCGCGCTGCCTTTGAGTGGGTGGCCGCCAGCAGAGGCAAGCATGCAAACCGAGACTTGTGCCCATCTCTATATACCACCTTTCAACCAAAGAAGATTACAAGGCGGTTTACAACAATTATAAGCACCTCACAAATGTATCTGTGACATCACTGTGATAACTCTGTTGTCCTGAATCCCAGTTCTGAGAGAAAGGCAGGAAATAAATTAAAATAATCCATCTTATCATCCCCAGCCACCAGAAATGTTGTTTGAGGCTGATGGATGGTGGTAATCCAAAAGGCCTGAATGGAAAGTTGAGGATTAACCAACAGCAGATGTGAGGGTTTTTTTTGGCCCTCTAGATGCTTAAGACTTCAGTTCCCATGATTTGTGGAGCTGCAGCCACCACAAATCATGGAATGGGATTTGAAGTGGCGTGTTCAAACTTCTGAAGCACCAAAATTTCCCTACTCAGGCCTAGAAACATACACAGTAGTATGAAAAAACATCAATCTGTAGGTAAGGGCATGTAGGCTGAAATTCTGTTGCTTAGCATAGTGAGTTCCACTAAAGTACGATCACTGAATCAGTGAGGATTCAGGGAGTCATCTTCTCTATTTTTCCATTAGAATAGGCATATGTGAATCGATGGAACATACAGTATAGAGGATTTGACTTGCCACTGATTCAGTGGGCCTTCTCTAACATGACTTACTACAATAAGTTTCAGCCACACTCCAGCACCGTATGATAAGTGTTCAATTCACTATTCCATAGTTTAGGCAAGTGCATCACCTCTCAATCCAACTCATTCCTGGATCTTTAATGAGCCTTCGAGTTGTACAGGCCTTCAGCTGCTCTTTTCTCATTTTTTCCTACTTCATTAGAACACAAAAGCTCCTTTGTAGGCAAATGAAAAAAAGTTCAGTCTCTCTCGGTTTGGCTCACTGCATATTGCTGAACTGCAGCTCCTAAGATACCTATCTGTGACATCACTGTGATAACTCTGTTGTCCTGAATCCCAGTTCTGAGAGAAAGGCAGGAAATAAATTAAAATAATCCATCTTATCATCCCCAGCCACCAGAAATGTTGTTTGAGGCTGATGGATGGTGGTAATCCAAAAGGCCTGAATGGAAAGTTGAGGATTAACCAACAGCAGATGTGAGGGGTTTTTTTGGCCCTCTAGATGCTTAAGACTTCAGTTCCCATGATTTGTGGAGCTGCAGCCACCACAAATCATGGAATGGGATTTGAAGTGGCGTGTTCAAACTTCTGAAGCACCAAAATTTCCCTACTCAGGCCTAGAAACATACACAGTAGTATGAAAAAACATCAATCTGTAGGTAAGGGCATGTAGGCTGAAATTCTGTTGCTTAGCATAGTGAGTTCCACTAAAGTACGATCACTGAATCAGTGAGGATTCAGGGAGTCATCTTCTCTATTTTTCCATTAGAATAGGCATATGTGAATCGATGGAACATATAGTATAGAGGATTTGACTTGCCAAATCCCCTTCTCTAACATGACTTACTACAATAAATTTCAGCCACTCTCCAGCACCATATGATAAGTGTTCAATTCACTATTCCATGGTTTAGGCAAGTGCATCACCTCTCAATCCAACTAATTCCTGGATCTTTAATGAGCCTTCGAGTTGTACAGGCCTTCAGCTGCTCTTTTCTCATTTTTTCCTACTTCATTAGAACACAAAAGCTCCTTTGTAGGCAAATGAAAAAAAGTTCAGTCTCTCTCGGTTTGGCTCACTGCATATTGCTGAACTGCAGCTCCTAAGATACCTCATTACTGGTTTTACTGGCCAGGGCTAATGGGAATGGCAGTCCAAAATCTGAAGTGCAGTACTTTGCCCGATTTGCTCTAAAAGAGGATTCAAATGATTCTGAGATTCCATGCCACCGAACAGCGTATGGTGTATTATCATGAGGCTTCAGATTTGTTGTCCCACATTAAGTCAAACATCAAAATACAATAAATTAATCCAGCTTTATAAGTGAATTCCTTTGGATTGAACACACTCTTTTAATTCATGAGGTAGGAACTTATTTATATGAACTTATTCACGAAAGCTGCTACTAACCTATCAATAGTGCTATGCCAAGAGTTGTGTGACCTGTGGAACCAAGTAGATCTTGAACTCTGGAGTATACCCATCCCATAATATTCATATTCACAGTGCTCCCCTAGGAAGAAAGATGAATTGTCACAGTATGTTTCCAACAGTTTAAAAAAAAAAAAGCTCACATGAACAGTTTTAAATAAGATTCACATTTGAATGTCTCATTTCTAGAAAGACCAGCGAAGACCTCAACCCATGCTAGAATGAACAATTGTCTATAACCAGGAATTCATCGTCTATAAATATGTTTACTTTTTGGGTCTAGGATATTTTATGTGTTTCTGCATTAACATTAAATGCTCTGTATTCAATATTTTGAACTTTACATTCTATCTAAACATATTTTTCAGCACACCATGGCTGAAATCCAGTAATGCAAAGTTATGCCATCAGTCCAATGATGCCATCAGCAACAACCCAATTACATAATTAAAAGTTCCCTATCCTTTACCATAAAAGTTTTCTAGGCTCTGTTATCCCTATCCCTTACCATAAAAGTTTTCTAGGCTCTGTTAGGATCCCTTTGGACCTGGGGAAGCCTTTGGGGACAGTGACCATGTCCTGTCATTTTTCAGTAGTGGCCACTGATACTATGATTATATGGGAATTAACACTGAGAAATATTTTCATAAGAATACTGTCAACAGCCTGACATTCCCTTTATAAAAGTGCTATATCCCTAGATAACAGCTGTTCTTACCACTTTAATGTGCATACATAGAAATAAAATGATGTAAAAATCAGTACTACATTTCTGCTACAGCTGTAGAAAAAAAAACTGATTTCTTAAAAAACTTACAATTCTAGCCATGCTTAGCTGAAGACCAAACACGAGGTTTAACTCTTTGCCTTTAAACCAACTGACAGCATAGGTATTCTGTGCCACTGCTAAGGACTCTCCACCAATCCTAAATAAACCGAAATTTAACAATACAAGGTGTTAAATTTGAAACAGCATGCATGATACAACCCTCTTTTCTTTTCAGACCTATATACCCATGTCAGTATTCACTTTTTCACTGAAGACAATATCCACAAAATAAGAAGAAAAATAAGTTAATTTTGATTCATGGGTAAGGAATAAGAACTACCAAAAAAATTACAGAAACAGAAGGTGTCACATAACCCTTGGCTTGCTTTTTTTTAAAAAAAGCATTTATATATAATTAATATTAAGAACTCACCCAAATACAAATCTGCCAGTTTCCATCAGCCAAAAAGCATTGCTTATTGCTCCTACAGCAAAAATCACCTGAAAAGGATTAATATACATCATGAGTCTAGTTTAATATTCATGCTATAACACAGGCAAATATTTTAGATGGTTTTTAAAATTCAGCACAACCTAATAATTTTCAGATGCCAGTACAAATTATGCATCTGTTCGTCTATAATCAACTACTGTATATTATCTATATGACTTACCTGTCCTACACAAACAAAGGAGCTGAATATTATTGTGCCCCACCTGCAAGAAAGTTTAAATCATATGAAGTCTTCATTATAAAAAAAGAGTCAACACATACAAAAAAAATTATAGGACTTGGGAGAAAGGGAATCACCCGAAGCCAAATGGGTAAATGGTTAAAAACCATATATTTAATTTGTGATTCAACTCTGAGGATCATAACTTATATAGTAGAATATACACACCCAAGAAGTACCAGCAGACGTGAGGAGAATACAAGACTTAAAAATGACCGTTGTTTTATAAAACTGGTGAAATAGCTCCAAAAAGCTTAAAGAGGGCTAAGCTTGAAGAGTGACACTAGAACGCTGGCTGAAGAAGACAGAAAGTCAGAGGTGAAAGGTAATGAAATGGGGTGGCATGGAATGGGTGTTAAAAGGTGCAAGACCCAGATGTAAAAAGATGAAAAATATTAATATGCTATAAATGTTATGCATTATACTGTATTTCACTATGTCTTCCACTGTATTTTATGGTTTTTGCACTGTTTAATTTATTGACATTGTCTTATTTTGTTATTCTATTGTTTTCTGTTTAGTTGTTGTAAACTGCCCAGAGTGGCCTTAGCTTTAAAGACTAGGTATCAGCACGACCACTAAACCCAATTCCCAAAAAAGAAAAGAGCAAAAGATGCCAATTCGTTATGGGTGAAGAGGAATAAAGTACATTGAACTCTCAACATATGTGTTCGCTACAACATCTTTTGCAAGGCCTTACTTGTTAGATCACTATTTTGAAAAGATAAACACAACAGCTAGAGATATACTGAAGTATATTTATTAATCCTTTTGATAATGTTTTTTCATTTAACTATATCTCATAATAGCTCCTTGCCATGTTGAAAAAGATCTATGAAAACACAGATTAATTACCTTATCCCAAATACTCTATCGATCAAAAAGCCTCCAAAGAAACAGAGAACCACATTAGGCCAGGAATACCAAGCATACAGCGACATGAACTGAGCTGTGTTCACTTTCATGTCCTAAAAGGAAAAACAAAGGGTTAAATTGTAAACATCACTTTAGTTACAAAACATGCATATAGAATACAGTGGACCCTCGACTTACGAAGGTCCCTACTAACGAAAACTTAGATGTATGAAAAGCTCCAGACACAAAATTTTGGTCGACTTGCGGCCGGAGCTTCGACCTACGAAAGGCAGGGGGAAAGGGCGGGAAATTCAAAGCCACCCCCGCTGCCCTCTGCCTTCCGTCCCCACGGATAGGAGGCAGAGGGCACCGTGGACGGGAGACAGAGGGCAGCAGAAGGGGTTTTGAAGCCCAGAAAGCCGGCATGGATTAAATGCTGGAACGGATTAAATGGTTTTCAACCCATTCCTATGAGAAAATGGACCCTCAACCTACGGACTTTTCGACCTGCGGCCACCATTCCAATACAGGTTAATTCCATAAGCCGAGGATCAACTGTACTGATTCAAAGAAATGGCTTTCCTTGTATCATCAATTCACATCAATCTGATCTCCGTTCTTAAAATGATGAACACTGGGGCCAGAAAGAAGGTTCTGAGACAGACTTTTCCTTCATCCGCTGCCCAAAACAGGTTGGAGTGGGAAATACATGAATCCAACAGGACTGATGGAAAACAGCTTCTAGCACTCTTGGCTGAAGAGCTGGCAGGGAGATATGTCTATGAAAACATGTTTTCAATTAGGGATTGACTGACCCTTGCTAAAAGTATGTGGTCCACTGTTAGTGTTACCATTCCTGTAACAGTTGTCCAACAGAGTGCTCAGAACAGCATTTCAGTATAAAAAACAAAGCATTTTACACAGTCTTGTAAATAACTCAATGCTCCCCATTCACTCTTTATTTCACAACATGCACCCTTCCCCTCTCTCTGTCACTTTGCCTATACCATCATAGCGGTCAAATATGCCTTTTATGTGAGCATGTGCGTTCTCCTGTCAAAGCTCGAAAAACCATGATAATCTTCCTTCCACTAATTTAAACTTTAAAAAGCAGATCATTGAATAACATGTTGGTTCTTCTTACCATCTTCTAGCTCCTGGAAGAGCCATGGTAGTTATTTAGCATGGGGGAGGGGGCAGGATACCACTTAGATGCTAGGTATTTGGCAAATCTAACCAGCTAATCATTCCAGTCCAGTCAGTGCCTTGATCTTCATAAAATACACTCCTATGAATATTGTTCAGAAATATATTCCACTGCATTCCATGAGACTTATTCCTTAACTAGTGTCTGTGACATTGTGACCGAACAAAATTAATTGTGTCAGACTGATCATCAGATGCAGATGACCATAGTGCAGGGGTTAAACTGCAGTACTGTGGTCAAGACTCTGCTCACAATCTGAATTCAATCCCAGATGGATTCAGGAAGCCAGTTTAAGGTTGACAATGCTCAGAGATCAGTAAAATGAATATCCAGCTCGTTGGGGAGCAAAGTGTTGTTTGGACTTTAATTATGGTATAAGCCACTCAGAGAATGCTCCAAGCACTATGGGGCAGTATATAATACAAGTCAAAACAACAACAACAGATCACATTAATGAGAAACTTAATACAAGAAAACACATCTTGGATAACTCACCCTTTGAACCTGAGTCTGCAGCGCTGCTGGGTTATCATAGCAAAAATAGCTGCCTACAAAGACAAGAAGCAAAACAAGATTTTTTTTACAGTACCCTGAAAATGCTTGTAATAATAATGAAAATATGATTATTTGGTTTCCATAAAAATTTCACACTGGGAAGAATAAAAAGGGAGAGACATCCTCCATTCTTTCATCTGATTCTAAAAGAACAAAGAATATGATGGCTAGAGAATTGGTAAGTCTTCCTTCCTAATTTTCCGCTGAAGCATACAGTAAGTACAACTGTTATCAATAAAGATAATTGGCACAAGGAACCAATGGACACAATAACTTCCAAGAAATCCAGGATGGGCTAGATAGAAATTACTAGAAAGCCTAATTCTGCACGGCTACCTACCAACTCAAATCTCCTTATCCACTCTCCTTATCCACGGAAGATTACAGAGTAGTTTGTGTCTCATGGGGGAATGGGTCAGAGCCTATGCTACACATGCAGAAAGTCCAGGTTCAATCCCCAGATTTTCAGACCGTACAGAGAAAAAAAATCCTCTATGAAATATTGGTAGACAATATCAGTGCAAAATCAAGCAGTACTGATAAAAAGTTGCCCAACAGTCTCTGCAGCACAAAGCATTTCTCATATTCCAACAATACACTGGAAAGCCCCATTTCCTTAATCAATGTGCCATAAAACTCTTGAAAGGAGAAGGCTTTAAAGCTGCCACATGGTTTTGCTTCTCCATTTCAGTTTTTCCTGGATTTTGGATGCTTCCCCATTCTAATACTCCCCCGTTTGAGGCTTTTTTCAAAAGGAAACAAAAAAAAACCCGCATTTTAAAAGTATATAAAAGGAAAAGCAACACCCCTGTTTACAGACTCTAGGGTAGACCCGAAACCGCCCAGAGCAAACACGGCGTGCTCCCAATACCTCTAAAAAAAAAAGAACCGGGTCAATTACACCTTAGACACGCGTGCACGACCACTCGCACGATCGAACCTTAAACCCCTTTCCAAATGAAAACAAAGTTTTCCCTCTCTCTCTTCTCGAACCCTCTCGGCGCTGTTTATTACACATGAGAAGGACCCCCAAAACAGGGTCTAAGAGCCCCTTCTGCCTCTCACTCACCGAAGCCCAGGAAGCACATGAGCGCCAGCGCCAGCAGCCGATGGGCCAGCCGCTGTGGGTCGCACAAGGCCGAGAGGGGCTTCTTCGGCGCCGGGCCGCCATTCTCCTCCTGCGATGGATCCTCGTCCAGCAGCGCCTTCTCCTCCTCTTCTTCCGAGGCCGCCATCTTCACATCCCAAACCTCCAGCCAGCGTCCCACTGGCTTCCGCGCTACATAGCAAGCAGTCACATGAGAGGCCGGTCATGTGACCCGCCCACACCGGGCACTCACGTGAGAGCCTGAGCGAAACATAAAAGTAATTTGGGTTGGGTTGCGTGCTGCTGGTTTCGAACTTTATTAGGGACCGAAGAGCGAAAGAGGAAAAGCCAAGTTACTGATTTGTAATACGAAATGTGTGGTCCAGCGACGAGCTTGTTTATGGATGCCAACACAGCTACTTCTGTTTTTTGAGGGATTTAAAGGGGTCCCGTTATTAGGAGTTTCTGGTTCTATAGACATAATGGGGAAGTCGTAGGTTTGTTTTCCATCCCTTCCCAAAGACGTACGTAGCAATTTTTTGGAGAAGCTCGGCATTTCATAATCCTGAAAGAGATACCTATGTTAGCCTGTTGCGGTACGGCTTGCAAAAAGGAGGTAGAGTTGTATTGTTGTCCACCTTTATAGGTAAGACTTCTTCTAATGTGAACTTCCATGGATTGCTTATCTGCTTCCTTAGACACATGAAATACAATGTTTTGGTGCAAGGTTTGTAAGAGTTAGGACTGTAGGCGTGAGAATTGAGAAAAAAGGGATACTGACAGAGGCAATGGCTTTTGAAAGCGAGGCCAGCGTTGTTAATTCATGGGTCCCTCGTCTTTAATGAGTGAGTTCCCGTCACTTGTCCCAACCTAGCAGTTCGAAATCATGCAAATGTCAGTAGATAAATGGGTACCACCATGGTGAGAAGGTAACAACATCTGAGTCTAGTCGCGCTGGCTAGGTGACCACGGAAACTGTCTTGGGACAAACGCTGGCTCTATGGCTTGGAGACGGGGATGAGCACCGCGCCCTAGAGTCGGACACAACTGGACTAAATGTCAAGGGGGACCTTTGCCTTTACTGTATTTAATGAAAGAGAGAGAGAGTCATTCAGCTGCTGCTTCTCTGACCCAATTTCAAAACAAAGCTGCTTATATGCACACCCAAAAAGGAAACTTGCAAGAAGCCATCCAGAGATGTTTGCCAACCTCCTCGCTCTCTGCTGATCAGATGCTGGGTGAGAAATAGTTTGACTGCCTGGTGCCAGTGGTGGACGGGGAGTGGGTGAAGAAGCAGTGGAGCCACAGCTCTTACTGCTTCCTCTGCCTTCCCCTTTCTTCCCCCCCTTCTCACTTTGGGAATGTAGGTTTTTCCTGGGTTAAGGCGCAGCAACAGGGGCCCATCCCTTATTACCTTCCTCTATCAGAAGCCATCTGCCTTAGCTGCTGCTATTTAAAGGTAGAACAGAAAAAAAAATACCAAATCAGGCTGCAAAGTTACTCCGCAGCCCAAAACTCATTACTTGACAAATCCCACAGACAGGTTTACTGTGACACAGACATGCACACATGCCAAAATTATTCACAATAAATTGTGTTCACAATAGAGTTAACACTCCCATGGTTGTTTAAAATAACTTGCTTTCTGACCAGAAAAATATGCACTGGGCTGTACATCATATAGGCAGATATTTTTAAAAATTGAGTTCAAGCATGCTAAACCTGACACAAAACCAGGAGTATTATGAGATGTAACTGAGTCCTCCTTTTGTTAATATAATTGGTGACCCAAAAAGCCCTTGTCTCTGTTTAAGGCTGTAACTATACTGGCAAGCCAACTTGGAGTAAATTGGCTTTGTGTGGCTTGTTTTGCAGCCTGTTTTGTACTTCTATTTGGATTAGGTGATGACACAGAAACCATAGATTGTTTCAGTGCCATTGTCCACAATGGCCCCTCAGTCCGATGCAATTTGATCCATACCACAATTCCCCCCCCCCAACATTCTACATAGAATGCACAAGGTCTAATGAAGCTATTATCCATCACATTAGAACACTGGTTCTTAACCTTGGGTTACTCAGGAGTTTTGGACTGCAACTCCCAGAAGCCTTCACCAGCTGTCCTGACTGGGGTTTCTGGGAGTTGCAGTTCAAAAGCATCCAAGTAACAAAGGTTAAGAACCACTGCATTAGAAGACGAATATAATAGCTGAGATTGAAAAGATTGTCTACCCGGGGGGGGGGGGGGGAGTATCAATGACATTTGGGTGTCTAGTATTTTTTCAGTCTTATTTTATGTGCACATTTTAATTTTGTAGTTAGCTTTCTGTTATTTGTTTAATTGTCCTTACTATTTTACCTTACTGTGCTTTATAATTGTGTTTCTTATGCTGTTTTAATTGATTTTGAGCCACCTTGGGTCCCTATGAGGAAAAAGGCACCATAAAAATAAATAAAAATTTTTAAAATTGTCCCATGGTTGTTGATTTCAGTACAGTCCCATATTCAGGTATAACAAACCATTCCTATGAGAAAATGTGTGTAGTGTAGTGTAGTGTTTCTTATGCTGTTTTAATTGATTTTGAGCCACCTTGGGTCCCTATGAGGAAAAAGGCACCATAAAAATAAATAAAAATTTTTAAAATTGTCCCATGGTTGTTGATTTCAGTACAGTCCCATATTCAGGTGTTGTAGGGGAAGCTTTGTGGTTGGCTAATTTGCGAAGATGGCCATGCTAATTAGAGGTTGTGGAAAACAGTAGTTGGAAAAAGTAACCCTTCCCATCTCTGGAGGCGGGATGGGGGAGCAATCGTAGTAAGTTCACCTCTGCAACAGAGATTGGTCTGTTTCTGTTCTCCCACCCACACTATGGGCCAAAAGACTTGTGCTCCATTGATCTGTATGCAGATGTATTGCTTTTTTAAGTGCTGGAAAACTCCCTGAAACATTGAAATGCCTACCTTTACAGCCCTTTTTGATTGGTCAACGTGCTGCTAGTCCCTCACTGCCAAAGTACTGATATGTCGTTTCTCTTTCTCTTTGAGGCAAAGTGGGAACCCCTAAAATAACCAAAAGTGGATGTATTGTCTACGGACGATGGATAGGCAGAAGAGAGTACATGCTGGATGCATGACATCAAAAAAGGTTCTGTTGTTTTTCATGATTTTGGAAAAGGATGCCACCCAAACCAGAATCAAATCAGATACCTTTCCTGACCCAAAAGACTGAACCATAGGGACAACAGATTAGCAGTTGAACAAAATATGATTATTCTTGTAGACTATTTGAATTAAAGAGAGAAACAAAGTCTTGTAATATCTTTAATTCTAATATATTTACCTGTTTGTTATTTAAATAAACCTTGTTCTTTTGCTTGTTAAAAATCCATTCCTGGTCTGTGTGACTTCTTATAGGGAATGGTTGGTGGCAGCATAGTTAAAGTGTGGCATACTCCAGTAGGTCTGGGGTTGTCACATTGATCAATCGTAGTAAGTTCACCTCTGCAACAGATATTGGTCTGTTTCTGTTCTCCCACCCACACTATGGCCCAAAAGACTTGTGCTCCATTGATCTGTATGCAGATGTATTGCTTTTTTAAGTGCTGGAAAACTCCCTGAAACATTGAAATGCCTACCTTTACAGCCCTTTTTGATTGGTCAACGTGCTGCTAGTCCCTCACTGCCAAAGTACTGATATGTCGTTTCTCTTTCTCTTTGAGGCAAAGTGGGAACCCCTAAAATAACCAAAAGTGGATGTATTGTCTACGGACGATGGATAGGCAGAAGACAGTACATGCTGGATGCATGACATCAAAAAAGGTTCTGTTGTTTTTCATGATTTTGGAAAAGGATGCCACCCAAACCAGAATCAAATCAGATACCTTTCCTGACCCAAAAGACTGAACCATAGGGACAACAGATTAGCAGTTGAACAAAATATGATTATTCTTGTAGACTATTTGAATTAAAGAGAGAAACAAAGTCTTGTAATATCTTTAATTCTAATATATTTATTTTTGCAGAACATTTTGTTGATTACTGTGCACTTCTTAGAGTACAGTATTCAGGCTACAGGTTTAATATAGTCGGTGCCAGGATCAGTGTGAAAAGGTTTATGAGTATATCCCATTTCATTCTGTTCCCACTCCTGCAGCCAAGTACACCATGTATATAAACTCGTGGCTGAACCTTGCTTTCTATGTATCTGAAGAAGTGGCTTGTAATCTAGAAAATATTATGCAAATCTGCCCTTAAAAGTGCTACAAAGTGGAAGGACAGTAGATACGTTAACATGGCTACCTCCTTGAAAAATGCTGTCCCTCTAGGAATGCTATTCTTTAACAGAATCCACACATGTGCTTAAGCTTTTCAGCCTTCATCCTTTCTAAAATAGTTTCCACTGCTATAGACAGGTGTCAAGAATACCTAATGTTTCTTTCCTCCTCCTGCATAAAATGGGGGACCCAAACTATTGAGGTAGCCACTTTTAAGGTACGACAGAATTGTTTTGCTTTTGCTGTGACAGACTAAGAGAACTGGGTGCATTTGAAATACTACACTGAAAGTGTCATGTGGGAAAAAAAATCTGCAATTAGCATTTAGTGAAGGCTACTGACCGATTTCATGAGGGGGACAATGAATCTACTCAGTGTTGTAGGCAGAGCTCTATATGAAATATCGGAGGTGCTGAACCTAGATGGGAGATAGGATTCAGCAGTTTGGAGAGCCCCAATAACATTTGGATTAAAAGTCAGAATGGATTCACTGCCCCTTGAAATCTAGAATCCCCAGCTTCTACAGCCAGTGTTGCAAAATTACAAAAACAAATCACAATTTTTCAAATAGATGTTTTTACTGCAGGCGTAGAGTTCTTTTTTAAATGCCAGAGGTTTGCCCCAGCTCATTAAAATGGTTAATAATTAGTAGTTAGTACAGCAGAATTGTGCAGGCCAGATTACTGTTGAACCACAGTGCTCAAACATATTTATTGAGGAATCCCAGGACCTGTAAGCAGATCCTTAGAACAAGAAATACAAATTATTTGTTTCTTAGTATATTAACTTGGTGACAAGTTCCTTTAAATTTTATGGAAACTACACCTCAAATTATTTGTTTCTTAGTATATTAACTTGGTGACAAGTTCCTTTAAATTTTATGGAAACTACACCTGAAGTTTATGAAACTAGTTTGATGTTGATTTCATTTTTTGGAAATACTGTATCTCCAGTGCCTTGAAAAAATAAAAAGCTGTGTGTTCCTT